TGAGACAGGCCCCCGTCTTGAACTTGAGACCTCGGACCAGGGTGAGGCTGGGGGGCCCCGAAGCCTGGAGCTGAAGCAAGTAGGCTGCTTACAGCACCCAGCTGGGGGCCCCCAGTTCTGAAGGGCTCTAAAGTCACCGCTGTGAAGGATGTGAAGGACAGCGCCCAGAGACAGGGAAAGAAGCAGCACATGGCTGGCGAGTTCAGCTGGTTCCCTAGCCCTCCATGCTCACAGCACTCTACATGCTCCATTCTCAGGATCCCTCACCCTCCTGGGAGTGGCCAATTGCACAGTCAGGAAGGGGTGAATGGGGAGCCGTGAACTTGACCTCAATCATGTCCAGCCCTGGGGGTGAGGTGTAGCAGCTCCAGCTGAACTAGCCAGGTAGACAAAGGTTCGCAGGGTACAGCTGGGTCAAGTGACTCATTCACAGAAGGAAGGATATTGAATTCTTCCTAACAATTTCTTGTTCCCACTGTTCTCCCTTACTTATTACCATCTGGCAATATTTTACTATCCTGTACTTACAGGGAGTTTTCGGACAATCTCACCTCTTAGCAACTTTTCTCTTCTTTCCTCCCTCTGCTGTCATTCAGTCTGTCATGTAATCACCATTGGTTTGCTTTGGTTACTGGGTGCCAGGCCCTTTAGCGGGCCTGTAGATAAAAAGTCCCAGCCTGCCAAGGGCTCACTTTCAAACTGGAGAAATAAGCCCGGTTCATCATGAAGACCCCAGTAAGTTCTGTGCTGGTGGCAACAGGAGGAAGAGTTGGGACAAACAGTCAGGGCCCCTGTCAGGGAGATGCGGGGAGGGGAAGGCTTCTCAGAGGCTAGTTAGGAGCACGTTCTGAGCTGGGTCTTGAGAGGTGGAGGATGGTTTTCCCCAAGAAGGAAATGGTGCTCATTCTGGGGAGAAGGAAGGGGTGCACAAAGGCCTGGGATTTGAGAAGCACGTCACGTTTGGTGAGTGATAGCAGCTGAGGGCACCGTGAGCTGGCTGAAGTGACGGGGGGCCGGGGGGGGGGGGGGGGGGGGGGGGTGTCTCTGGAGGCAGCAAGGGTGCACGTGGCACGGCCGACATGCTCACCCCCGACGTCAGCCCTGAAGCACCGTGACCCCCGGTGCTCATCACGCCTCGTGTGGGAGCCTCAGCCCAGGCGGCGGGACCCTGGCTCCTGGCCCACAGCTTCACCACCACCCGCCCCGGGGTGTCGCCCAGGGGCCGAGCAATGCTCCCAAGTGCTCCCAAAGCTCAACGGCCACAGGCCGCAGCGGAAAGGGGCTCAGAGGCCACTCAGTGCACAGGCCCCGGGCCACCCTTCTGTCCACCAGTGGGGTCCACAGCCACGCAGGATGGGGCACTGAGGGTGGCTCCCGCCGCCCCGAGGCCAACCACGAAGGGCGGTTCCGGGGTAAGCTCGGCATCCCCGCCCCACCAGGGCGCTAGCCCCTCAGGAGGATGTGTATCGGGTGCTCTGGGCGGAGCCAGGAAGGAGCAGGGAAGAGGTGTGTGGGCGCCCGGGTCCTGCAGTGAGAAACCATCAGTTCCCACCCAGGCCCAGCCTCCCAAGAAGCACCCCCTATGGCGGGGCGGCACGGAGCTCAGAGTGAGCTGCGGGGCCTGCCCGCCTGCACGGGCCCATCTCCGTGCACGGGGGCTGTGAGCTGGGGGGGCGCCAGCAGACGCCTGGAGCCTCAGCGGCTGCGTGTGTGTGACAGGGCGACCAGGGTCCCTGCCGCACAGCGAGGAGGGGACACGCGTGCACGAAGCTCCCAGTGGGGAGCCCGAGGCCCAGGACGTGCCCTCTGGGTGCAGGACAGGTGCGACAGCCACCCCCGAGGTCACGCGCCACCACGCCAACATCCTCTACTGACACACGGTACGAAAGGGAGGTTTTCTGCCCCCAGGCACCGGGCACCGCGGCTCTGCCCGGAGCACAGAATCAGGGTCTCGGCAGAGGCGGAAAGGGCTTGAAACCGATGAAAGAAACAACGAAGGAAATGCCCAGCCTGGACCGGAGGAGATGGGCCTCCGTTCTACCTGTTTGCAGGGTACCTGGCGCTGCAGCAAGGCCACCCGTTCCTCCAACTCCTGGATCCGACTCTGAGCCCGCTCCCGGTCAACCCTCTCCGACGTGAAGTCGTCCTTGTACGCGAGGATCTGTGAGGAGACGAGACACTCAACCGTCAGACGGCAGCGCCGTTTCTGCTCAGACAGAGAAAGGCCCCCAGCGCCCCCCGGCACCTCCCAGCGCCCGGCCCCGGGGTGGGGGGCACCTGCTGCTCCAGCATCTGCACCCGCTCCAGCGCGGCGTCCCGGGCCCTCCTCGCGGCCTCCAGCTCCCGCCTCGCTTCTGCGCAGTCGTTGATTTTCTCCTCCAACTGTGTGTTGAGCCGGGAGATCTCCTTCCTCATCAGCTCGGGCGGGGAGGGCCTCTCAGGCTCGAGGGGGGCCTGCAGCCCTCTCAGCTGTGCGTGGAGCCCCCTCACGTACTCGTCCCTGCTGGCGTCGTAGCGCTGCCACTTGGCATTGAGGTCTTCCACCTGAGGAGGCCGGAACGCTCACGGTGGCAGCGGCTGAGAACCTGCTGTCAAGCCAACCTGAACCGTGAAGCTATTCACTAGCAACAAGGAGCAGAGTGAGTTTCCCCTTAACTGAGAGTTGCCTCAGGGGACCTCCCTGGTAGCACAGTGGTTAAGGATCCGCCTGCCAACGCAGGGGACACGGGTTTGAGCCCTGGTCCGAGAAGATCCCACGTGCCGCGGAGCAACTAAGCCCACGAGCCACACAACTACTGAAGCCCGTGCGCCTAGAGCCTGTGCTCCGCAACTGGAGAAGCCACAGCAATGAGAAGCCCACGCACCACAACGAAGACCCAACGCAGCCAAAACTAAATACATTAATTAATTGATTTTAAAAAAATAAAAGGAATGAAGGCCAAAAAAAAAAAAAAAAAGTCTGTTTGCTCTGTGCAGAGGGGACACTAGGACGTGGCAACAATGGCCACAAACAACTGCCGTAGGCAGAAGCGGACTTGCTACAATTTCCCACCGTAAAAGCTGTACTTGATAGTAATTCTTGTTCCTCATTTACCCACATGTGAATTAACGTGGGGGCCGGAGAATGACAAGCGTGTTCTACACGTCCTTTTAGGCAAGTATGTCGGCCTATGGGGACTGCGCGCATCAGCCGCAGTGGCCTGAGGGCAGGGGCAAGCCCCGGGCACAGCCGAGGGGAGGACCCTCATCTGCGGGCCATGCGGGGGAAGCTCTTCCCGAGCGACAGCTGACAGACACTCACGTGAGTCGCCCTCTGCTTCAGCCGCCGATTCTCCTCTCGCAACTTCTCAACCACCACGTGGACAGAGCCGTCCCCAGCTGCACACGCTGGCTGCGCAAGAAAGGAGCGGAGAGCAGGCGCCGTGTCACCGAACGTGACTGTCGTGTGCGGCAAGAGGGTAGGAAGCCACACCTGGAGACTGAGGCCGCAGATGGTCACTGCAGCCCGCACTGCGGCAGGTGGGACGGAGACAGGAAAGGACGTGCCCCTCCCCGAAGGTGGGGGAGGGGTGGTCCCCACCCCGCCCAAGCCCACCCCACGCTGGGGCCAAGCCTCGCTCAACCTTCTCCTGCCTGAGACTTTCCATCATCACGGGAGTCGGGAGGGCAGGAAGCTTAATCTCACCGTCCACCAAAGAACCTTCCAGCCCAGGGCCACAGGGCCACCAGGAGCAGGCCCGGCCAGGCACCCGGCTCCCTCCCTCTGGGCCCACCACACTGTCATGTCACGTCACGCAAGCAGGGTTGAACTCAGTGATTCTGTACACGGCAGTCCACCCGTGCCTCACTCGGGGTCTCGGGACTCATGCCCGGAAACCCACGTGCCAAACAAACCAGCCCTAACGGTGGTGGGCAGAGCTAGCCGAAAAGTCCATCTGAATCCTAGGAATTCAGTGCATTTAACAGTATGGTGGGCTGCATGCTGGTGCCGGTACTTTTGAGAATTCCCCTCGAATGACAAAGGAACTACATGTCCTAACCCAGGGGGCACCGGGAAGCCCCGGTGACTCAGCCGAGTCCAGGGCTGAGGAGTGACGCGGATGTAGAGCCTGGTAAGAGCTCCGGCCCCACCCCTGCCCACGCCAAACACGACTGCGGCTGTGTTCAAATCCCCAGAGGGAAATGACACAGTGACTCAAAATCAGACGAGAACACAGCCTGCCCCCAGAGAACACTGTGGTATCTGAAATATGTCTGTGTGCCTTCTGAGGTTCCCTTTTCGTGGAATCCACCCACGGAGACGGGCAGTTCTCAGACCGGTTTTCAGACCAAGGTTCTCCCCAGCGGGCTTCCCAGTGGAAATGCTGCTAAGGGGCTGGAGGGCCTGTCCCCGCCTCTCCCGCGTTTCTGAGTCAGCCTGGCTGCAGCCTCAGGATCAGAGAACTGCCTGGAAAAGAGGAATCGGGGCGGGGCGCGGCGGGGCGTGCACTGCGTGGAGTCAGACATCTGGGCGGGGCGGGGCGAGGCAGGGCATGCACCACGTGGAGTCAGACAGGCAGGGATGGCGGCCTCGCCCCGTGCTCCCAACACCCGCAGCCAGGAGCCGCCCCCCCCATCTCCCACGTAGCGAATTCCTGATGCTGAAACCACGCTGTCCCCTCCCCCACCAGACCGCACACACAGCCACAGCCCAGCTCCACGCAGTCCTGCAGGCCGCCTGCCCCTGACCCCGGCCCCCGCCCCCCTGCCCAGCTCCCTCCCTGCTGGCCCCACCCTGCCTAAGGCCTGGCCAGGGGTCACAGCGCCAGGTACACAGAAGGGCTCCGTGTCCTCCGTTCACTGACGCGGGTACCCGCCCTGCAGGAGGGCCCCGGCGAGACCAGCCCTGCTGAGACACGTGGAGCCCTCCCCCGCCCCGGCCCGCCCGGCCGATTCCTCACCACCGGCGGCCTTTGGAGGCGCAGCCCCTCACCTGCCTGCACGTGTGCCAGCGCCTGCTCAGGACACCCCTCCCGCCCCTGCTCTGCCTGCTTCGTCCTCAGCGAAGTCTGATGAGACCACAGTGCCACCTCCCCAGGGGGACCAGGGTCAGCTGCAGGTCTGGGGGTGGCAGCTGGTGACGCAGGCCACCTGCTTCCCTGTCACGTTCTGCACCTCCCACCGTGCTAGAAGAAATCCCCGAATGGGCGGGCTTTGCTGCAACCCTCACTATGGAGAGCAGGAGGGGCCCTGGGCGCCCCCCGACCTCCGTGACGGCTGAGGGATCCTGAGGCGCGAGACGAGGCCTCCTACTGCACCTCGGTCCGCATCGTGGCGTGCTGACACCACAGCCTACCTCAGGGCTCCTCTCCCCTGCGTCCCCCTGTGCGCGCTGGCATTCATCCAGACACTTGGCCAGATGCTGGCACATGTGGGCGGTGGCGGCCAGAGTCCTCCGCAGCTGATGCGCCTCATCGGCCAAGGAGCGGCACAGAATGTCGCTGGCGGCTGGGGCCCGCCCCTTCTGGGCCGCGCTTCTCCTCAGCAGGGCCACTTGCTTCTGCTCCCGCTCCTGCTGGCTCATCAGCTGCTGCGTCTCCCTCTCTTTTTCTTCTAGTTGCTCGGAAAGTCTCTCGATTTCCTAAGGGGCAGATTTAAAAGCACAGCTGACTTGACTATAAGAAGCAGTATCAGGAACAAACATTCCTAGAGCAGAAGAAAGTACGGCACAGACACCCATCAGTAGGCGATAAACGCGCTCATTTGGAGGTTGGCTTCTGAACGAATAATTAACTTTGGAGTTTTCAGCCCATAAAGTTCTAACTGAAACTTCACCTAAAATTCTATTTTCATGAGCAAATTCATAATGTTAGATTTTACATCATCGAATTACTAAGTGCGGCAATTCCAAATACTTCTTGATGGGAAGGGTAGAAACTCCACTGCAGTGGGTAGCCCCCCCAAAAGATATGCCCACGCCCTAACCCCCGATACTTGGGAATGTGACTTTACTTAGAAATAGGGTCTGTGAAGATGCACTGAGCTAAAATGAAGCCATACTGGATTAGAATGGACCCTAATCCAATGACTGGTGTCCTCACAAGATGAAGGAAACATGGACACAGATACAGAAGACGCCCACATGCCGACAGAGGCAGAGACTGGAGTGATGTGTCCGCAAGCCAAAGAACACCAGGGATGCCGACAGCCACCGGAAGCTGAAAGACAAAAAAGAAGGGCCCTCCCCCAGAGCCCCGGAGGGAGCACATCTCTGCCAGCGACACCCTGATTTTGGGCTTCTGGCCTCTAGAACACCGAAAGATGAAGCATCTGTTGTTGTAAACCACCCAGTTTATGGTACTTTGTTACAGCAGTTCTAGGAAACTAATACACCCAACCCCAATTAATTTTTTTAAAAAAGTCCTTAAAATTACAATTTACTTTAAACCCAGCCTTAGTTTTGTGCTTTCCCATTTTCAGAGTAATCACCAGCATAAACAGTACATAAGGGACGTGAAGCAGGATGAACCAGTCCTTCCTACAAATGAAAAAACAGCTTCAGAAAAGTCAGGATTGAGCCTGAGCTCCAAGTGAGGAAGTGGCAGGAGAAGGATCTGGGCTCCACTCGGGGAGGCGCTCAAGCTCACCTCCCGCGTGCTCACGAGGGGGGATGGACCCCAGGAACCGAGAACCTTCTTAGCACAGTGGAATGGAATACAGGGCCAATATTACTAACGGAACCCTGAATTACTACTCTCTTACCTGCTTTAAAACAAAAACATGTGCATGGTTATAAAAAAATTCAAACATACAGAAGGAAAGCAAATGAAAACGTCAATTCCTTTCTCCCAGCAGCTCCTCTGCCCCCAGCTTCACTCTCCAGAGGCAGCTACTCACTATTTGGGCACACGGACCTTTCCAGAGTGTTTATAAGCATCTATAACACATGTATTTTTACACAAACGGATGCTACAACACGCTTTTCTCCTCCTTAGCAATATACCTTATTCCACAGCAGCACAGAACCTGCCTTGTTCTTTTCAACCACAGCCTGGAGCTTCACGACAGATTCCAGATTTACTGAACACACACCTGTAGCCGGCAGACATGTGGCTGCTTCCTTATGCCCGTATGCAAATACAGCCACGGGATAAATGCCTACAAGTCACATGGCTGGGACTGTTTTTAAGACTCTGGGGCTAAGAAATAATTGGTGGGATGGACCCAGAGATTATCATACTAAATAAAGTCAGAAAGAGAAAGACAAATACCGTATCATACCACTTGATATGTGGAATCTAAAATATGGCACAAATGAACTTATCTACGAAACAGAAACAGACCCACAGACAGACGTAGAGAGCAGACTTGTGGTGGCCAAGGGGGAGGGATGGATTGGGAGTTTGCGATTAGCAGGTGCACATTATTATATAGAGAATGGGTAAACAACCAGGTCCTACTGTATAGCACCGGGAACTGTATTCAATATCCTGTGACAAACTGGAATGAAAGAGAATACAAAAAAGAATGTATATATGCACATGTGTGTGGAATCAGACATCTGGGCGGGGCGGGGTGTGCGCTGCGTGGAGTCAGACATCTGGCCTGAATCACTGTGCTGTATAGTGGAAATTAATGCAACACTGTAAATTAACTATACCTCAACAAAATAAATTAATAAAACAATAAGTGGTGGACCTCAGGAACACAGCCAGTCTCCGGGTCCCAGCCTGCTCCCCGGGCCTGCGCGCATCCACGAGGCAAGGGCCGCTCCCCGCGCTCCTGCACCCAGACACCCCGTGCACCTGTGATAACCAATCCATGGATAAGCCCAGCATGTGACCGAATCACTCCAGCCAGGTGATCCAGAAAACATTCTCGAAACCTCTCCCTCTCTCAGGAAATTTTTTTTTTTTTTTTTTTTGGCCGCACTGTGTGGCTTGCGGGATCTTAGTTCCCCGACCAGGGATCGAACCCAGGCACTTGGCAGTGAAAGCGCTGGGTCCTAACCACTGGAGGCCCCCCAGGGAATTCCCTCAGGGAATGTTTAAGAGTCCTCTCCTTCCCATTTCCCTTGGACTTCGCTCTAGAAATGAACAGAAAGAGAGCAAAGAAGAAAAACTGCAGTTAGAATGACCGGTTTGGCTCTCTTAGCAAAGGCCTAGAGGAAGGGGCTGTTCTAGATCTGCCCTTCACAACAGGGGCTCAAAACAGGAAAGAGCAGAGGCCTGGCAGATGGTGAGGCAGACCGTGAGGGCGGCGGGGGAGATGAGGAGGTCAGGCCCCGGCAAGTGGGAAACGTCCACCAAGTGGGGAAGAAGCAGCAGGACTGGTGGCGACGGGTGTGACACGTCACCGGGAACGAGCCCGTCAGCTGGAACCTCCGCCCCGAGGCGTGTGGCGCTGGCACTCCATCACGCCATCACACCTCCCTGCCCTCGACTCACAGGTGTCACAATCTCAGGGGTGCCAGTCAAGCCAGGTGAGATCCACTCTTGGAAGGTCATTACTTTCATTTCTCCACCTTTGGGCCCCGACGACCTCACCCCTGAACCCAAGGAGAAGAGGCCTCTCTCTGCAAAGCTGGCCGGTCGGCATCCATACCTCCTCCCAGCAGACAGCCCTTCAGCACCAGGCTGCACCTGCAGGACTGGGAAGGGGGCGCTGGGGGCCACCACGCATGGCCTTCTGAGCCTGTCCACATAGCTGGGGCTGCCGGCTGGTGCGAAGTCACTTGGTCTGGGTGAAGCCACGTCCACACAGTGCGATGGGGCATTTACACAGCTGAGAACCAACTATATAGCCTTCTTAGCATAAAATACTATAAACAGGAAAAAGAACGCCAAACTCCAACGAAAGCTCAGGCTCTCACTGCTGATTGTTTCCTGGCCTTGCATTTATTTGTTCTCTTTAAAAACTGGCTGCTTTTGAAGGCAGTCCAGCTGGTCAAGGCCACTGTCCCAGGTCCTTACCGTGGAAAATGCAGCAGGAGCCCCTCCCTCCACAGTGTCACAGATGCCAGGCCCGCCGCAGCCCACCCGTCGCCTGGACTCGTCTTCCCCTGCCAGCATCACAGCTCTGAGGTGGCCTTGTCACTACTGGTGGGATAGACATGCCACACTCCCCGGAGCTGGACCTAGTCACCCTCCACAGTGGCTCAGAAGTGTACCTGGAGTAGACACGGATGGTAAAGAGAGACCTGCCCTGGGCTTCCCTGGTGGCGCAGTGGTTGAGAGTCTGCCTGCTGATGCAGGGGACACGGGTTCGTGCCCCGGTCCGGGAGGAGCCCACATGCCGCGGAGCAGCTGGGCCCGTGAGCCGTGGCCGCTGAGCCTGCGCGTCCGGAGCCTGTGCTCCGCAACGGGAGAGGCCACAACAGTGAGAGGCCCGCGTACCGCAA